GATTGGTGGTGACTACCAGAACCATAGAGTTCAGCTTGGTTCACCGGTTCAGTGTACTGATTGGGACGTGGATGGGAAGCTCCTAGGTGTTCCTTGATAGTTTGTTTCACAATGCTCTCCATACTAGCCTTGAGAGCTGTAAATTGGTCTACTTCATACATGCCAGCTTTAGGAGGAGGAGCTCGGTCTTCGTACCAATATTTAGCATTCGACGTAAGTCTATCTACTAACTCCTCATTCTCCTCAGGTGTCATCTCCAGAGAAGAACCAAGTTTTAGAAAAGTGGTCCAATTCCTTCTTAGATGGTACCGTTAAGCCTTGGTAAAAGTAGAACATCAAACTATCGGAATCAATTAAAGCAGGTGGGCATTTAACCTTCAACTCCTTGAATCTTTCCCATGCTTCGCTCATTGATTCCATAGGTGCTTGACGGAAGTTTTGGATGGAGTTCTTAATTTTTACCATGGCGGAGGGTGGAAAATATTCGTGCATGAACGCCTGGTGCAATGCCTCCCAGGTCTTGAAGTGGCCATTACGAAATGTGTTCAACCATTTGGCGGCACGATCCCGAAGGGAAAAGGGAAAAAGCGATAGTTTAACACGATCCATAGATAAACCGTTGGACTGGAATGTTTGGCAGGTCCTCGAAAACCATAGCATGTGTGCCCTTGGATCTTCAGCTTTTGAGCCTCCAAATTGGTTATTCAAGACCATTTGGATCATTGCTGGTTTGATCTCAAATGAATGGGCTTGACTAGCGGGGAGACCTATGGGATCTTCCTCTACGTACGCCGGGCTCATAGCTTGAAGGATCGTTCGTCTGGGATTAGCCGCCATTTCTTCTTCTTCTTCCGAGTGTTGGTTCTCTTCTTCGTGATTTTCTTCCTCCTCTTCTTCTTCTTCTCTTCGCTCTTTGTCGTTGAACTCCAGTTGACGAGGAACCTTGACGGTGCGGCGTCGGAGCAAAAGTTCGGGGTTTTTGGTTCCCGGAAGAATGTTCTCACCGCGAGAACGAGTGCTCATACAATTTTGAAGGCTAGAGGAAGAATTCAAACAACCACCTAATGATAACTAAAAAGGTACGATTCAAGAATATATATATATATATATATATATATATATATATAAATATGTATGTATGTATATATACATAAGAAAATCGTTTCTATCAACTTTCTTTCAGGCTAGAAAGAAATCTTACTAATAACTTTCTGCGCCGATCCCCGGCAACGGCGCCATTTGACGAGAACTTTTGGTTTAAATCAAAATTCCCGTAGTAGTAAAGGGAACAGACTAGACCTTTAAAAGATCAGTTTATCCCGTGTCGTCTCAAGGATCGACCTAAGGGAAAGTTTAGCAAGACTAGCTAGACAAGATTTACTCGTTTAATTGAAAAGTTTTCAATGGGTCGAATAAGGAATGGAGATTGAATTTTACCTTTCAGGAATAAAAAGTAGGGATGTAATTATTGGTGAGATGATGATTCCTTTTAGAGTAAAATCACCGGTTACTTTTACTTTAAATCTTTTTACTAGTAAGTAAGTATCTTTTCAAATATTTGCTTAACAATCAATCCAATGTCTAAAGATCAATTATCGAATTACTGAGCTTGACTTAATTAAATTCCAGATCTCTCAAGAAATATAATTTTCAAGAATAGATTTGCCTTCTCTCGATTTACAAATCTCAAGTATAAATTCTCAGTAATAAAAACTAGTAATTTGTCTTGACCATAATATAATTAAACTCAATGATTTTCTCAGAAAATTACCACCACCATTCCAATAATCACATCCCTAATTAATTTAGCGACTCATAATAAAAACTTTCAACACACATGCATCATAAGAAGACATTTTTCAATTAAAAGTAGAGAGTTGACAAAACTTACTTCGACAAACTAAAGAACTGGAGATTCGGGCTACAATTTGCTTCGTGAAAACTCCAAGAAATAATACTAATCTAAAATATGAAAGTAGCTTTGTAAATCTAGGCTAAAAAAAATGGAGAAATTCGGACTTGAGAGAGAGATGGGCACTGTGCAGCATATCAAATCGGAGAGGGGGTGCTGTATTTATAGGACTGGACGCGAAGCGTCCAACCCCAGCCGTCCAGATCCAAAGCGTCCAAAATTGGACGCCTTACACGGCCCGTCCATTCGTTGCTCGCCACGTGGCTTTCGTGATGCCCAATCTTTGCCAAGCGTCCAAGGGGAAGCGTCCAACCTGCAAAGCGTCCAAGGCTTGGACGCTTTGGGCCTTCTCCTGTGGGCTTTTTCCGCGGCTTGATCCAATTCAGGCCCAATTTCAATTTTTACTTTGCTTCGCAGTTTGTTTCAGCTTCCTCCGATATTCTCATGATAAAATTCTCAGTTAAAAACATCTTTTTCTTTCAAATAAGAGCAGAAAAATCAACAATCTAGACTGGACGAACTTTAAACCAATTATTATTCCTTAAAGAACAAATCAAGGATATTGTTCATTTTAACATAAAATTATGCGCTGCTTATCGCTATTTTCGTGCAATAACGCTTAAAACATGTAGAATAAAATAAGAACAAAATGAACTTATCATCTCACTGAGCTCTGTCCAACAAGTAGGGGTACGACAGGGTCTACCATACAGAGCCTCATATGGTGCCATACCGATGCTAGCCTGGTGACTGTTGTTGTATGCAAACTCCATGAGTGGCAGGTATCGCTCCCAACCATCCCCGAAGTCGATTGCACACGCACGCATCATATCCTCGAGAATCTGAATCACCCTCTCCGACTGACCGTCTGTCTGAGGGTGGAATGCCGTACTGAAGTGGAGATCGGAGCCCAATGCCCTCTATAGGCTCTTCCAAAACTGCGATGTGAATCGAGGGTCACGATCAGAAATGATAGATGATGGAACTCCATGTAGCCTGATGATCTCGCGGATGTACAACTCCGCTAACCGCTGAAGTGAGAAGTCACGACGTATGGGAAGAAAATGTGCTGATTTGGTCAACCGATCAATGATGACCCAAACCGTGTCGTGCTTACGTGGTGACAATGGCAGTCCCACGACGAAATCCATCGTGATGCGATCCCACTTCTACTCAGGAATGGTGATCTGCTGAAGCAATCTCAAAGGAACCTGGTGCTCGGCCTTGACCTGCTGACAAGTCAAGCACCGTGATGTGAACTCCATGATCTCCCGCTTCATCGCGGGCCACCAGTAATGTCTCCTAAGATCCTGAAACATCTTGTTACTGCCCGGGTGCATGGTATACACAGTGCTGTGTGCTTCACGAAGCAGGCGTTCTCTCACCTCCCCCGCTGGCACAACCATACGCTCCCGATAGTACAAGATACCCTCACGAACTGCGAAATCCGGCTTCTCTCCTCGAGAGACGAGCTCAACGGTATGGATACAGAAATCATCGCTGCTCTGGGCTGATGCTATCTGCTGCTGTAATGTAGGCTGGACGTGTAACACAGCTAGAGTCTTCCGACTAAGGGCATCGACTACCACATTCGCCTTACTTGGGTGGTAAGCGATGTGACAATTGTAGTCCTTAATCAACTCTAACCATCTCCTCTGTCGGAGGTTCAAATCCTTCTATGTCAACAAGTACTGAAGACTCTTATAGTCGGTGAAGATACGCGTCATCTTACCGTAGAGGTAATGCCTCCAGATCTTCAAAGCAAGTACAATAGCTACTAGCTCAAGGTCGTGCGTCGGATAATTACACTCATGTGGCTTCAACTGCCGAGATGCATAAGCAACGACCTTGCCCTCCTGCATGAGAACACACCCCAAGCCGTTATGGGATGCGTCACTGAAAACCGTATACTCCACTCCTGGAGTGGGCTGGACTAGAACTGGTGCCTGAGTCAGACACTCCTTCAGCTGCTCAAAACTCTGCTGACAGGCGTCAGTCCAAAAGAACTTGACGTCCTTCCTCATCAACTTGTGCAGTGGTGACGCTATCTTGGAGAAGTCCTTCACGAACCGGCAATAGTAACCCGCCAGTCCGAGAAAACTCCTCACCTCTCGTGCATTACGCGGAGTCTTCCACTCCGTGATCGCTGCTATCTTGCACGGATCTACCTTCACACCTTCAGTCGAGATGACATGGCCGAGGAAGGTAACCTCGTGCAGCCAGAACTCGCACTTGGACAGCTTGGCATAAAGGTGCTGTTCCCAAAGAATGGTCAAGACAACGCGTAAGTGCCCGGCGTGCTCCTCCTGTGTCTTTGAGTACACCAAGATGTCATCAATGAAGACCACAACAAACTGATCAAGATGCTTCCGGAACACACTATTCATGAGATCCATGAACACTTCCGGTGCATTAGTCAACCCAAATGGCATGACTGTGAACTCATAATGACCGTATCTAGTGCGAAAAGCCGTCTTAGGAATGTCTTCCTTCTTGACTGGAATCTGATGGTATCCTGATCGGAGATCGATCTTAGAGAAGACCGTGGCTCCTCTCAGCTGGTCGAACAAATCATCAATGCGTGGTAGCGGATAGCGATTCTTGATAGTGACTTTGTTTAACTGACGGTAATCGATGCACAACCGCATCGATCCGTCCTTCTTGCGGACGAACAGATCGGTGCTCCCCAAGGGGACACACTGGGACGAATGAAGCCCTTATCCAGCAACTCCTGCAGTTGAGCCTTCAACTCCTTCATCTCCGCAGGCGCCATGCGATAAGGTGTGATCGAGATCGGTCCTGTTCCTGGAACAAGATCAATGGAAAACTCTACCTCCCTAGGGGGTGGTAGACCAGGTAAGTCATCTGGAAACACATCAGGAAAGTCACATACCGTAGGGATGTCCCCCCTACTAGGCGCCTCCTGACGAGTGTCACGCACTGTGCACAAGAATGCTTCACACTTCTTGCGTATGAGTCGACGAGCATGAATATAGGAAATGAATTCTGGAGCTTTCGGAAGAAGCTCACCATGGATCAGTACGTCACTACCGTCTTCGGCTCTCAGTCGAACAGTATGAGCTCCACAGTCAACAACGGCTTGGTTGGCAGTGAGCCAATCCATGCCTAGAATAACGTCAAACTCACGATGTGGAAGCTCAATGAGACTCGCAGGGAAAATCTTTCCCTGGACCACTAATGGGCAATCGTGATACACATGGGCGAGTCATAGACTGTGTCCCCGTGGGTTGGACACTAATATCGGATTGTCTAAATTTTCCCTCGGAAGGTTAGGCATAACAGGCATAGGCATACAAACATATGATAAAGTGGAACCCGGATCAATCAAAGCTGTAATAGATGTATCGAATAAGGTAAACATACCCATGATGACGTCATGGGCTGGCTGCTCGGTACGCCCTCGCATCGTGTAAGTACGGGCCGGGGCCTTCCCCTCCTGAGCGCCAGATGCCAGCTGCTTGGGCTGGCTAGATGCTGCCGCCGACTTCTGACTCCGGGCGGGCTGCGCTGCTGGGGCTGAAGCGGCTGGTGCGGTCGAGAATGCCTCACCCGGATTCTTCGGACAATCTTTTCGGAAATGCCCGGCCTGGCCACACCCAAGGCACAAGCCAAGAGTGTACCAACAGTCCCCTGGGTGCCTGTGCCCACAATGGTCGCAAATCGGGTTGCGAAACCCATCTCCGCTCTTGCCCTTCTTTTGTACGGACGCAGATGACTGAGCTAGGGCTGACTTCACCTTCTTGCTCTGGTGAGAGCTGCTCGGCGCTGCAAAGGACCTCTTGCTGCTAGTCCCCGCCTTCTGGGGTGAAGGAGGACGAGATGGTGCCGTTGACGCTCCCAGCGTCTGCTCATACTCAGCCTTCTTGATGAGGGCCGCATTCAAATCCAACGCATTCTTGTTCAACGCGTTGATGTCACTCCGGGGAGCAATGATCAGATGGGTCGAAAGGTCGGGACGTAAACCCTCCAAGAAGCGTTTGCATCGCTTCTCCACAGTCGGTGCGAGGTCTTGCCCAAACCCCGCGAGCTCGTCAAACTTCTGACGATACTCAGGCAGTGTGAGTTCACCCTGGGTGAACTTCAAGAACTCCTCCCGCTTTGCCTCGACGAAGTGCTCAGGGCTGTACTCTTCATGGAAGAGTCGGTCAAATGTGGCCCACTGCACGGGCTCCAGGACGTCTGCTCCTACACGCTTCCACCAGTCGTAGGCGGAATCCGGAAGTAATGCGACTGCGAGGTCGCCACATTGCTCCTGTGGAACCCTCAGGTTCCCCAACACTCGGATGGTTCGCTCAAACCACCGTTTGGCAATCATGGGGTCGGCGATCTGATCGCCCAAGAATTTCTCAGCTCCATTCTTCCAGAGCTTCTCGATGGTGACCACCGCCACTGGTGGCGGCGGTGGTGGCGGTGGTGGCACGTAAGCTCCAGCCATCTGCTGGAGGAAGTTCATGACGATAGCCGCGAACTGCGGTTCGACGATAGGGATGGCTTCCGGTATAGGGCCCACGCCCGGGACCGCCTGCTCGGAGGCCTGCTGAGGTGTGAAGCTCGACCTCATGTCCGTCATTGTCAGCTGCTTGACTCATTCTCTCTAAAGGAATAACTTAAATCAGAACTAATTATAATATGACATGCATGTGATCTAAATAACGGTGTACCTTTCCATGGGAGTGATGCGATGGGAGATGCGGCTGTGGACTTTTGAAAAATACCTTTTGACCTAAAATGACAATATTTTTTTTTTTCACAAAACCGAACCGCTCCGATACCAAATTGTAACACCCGCCTTCCGTGGACTCGGTTCACCCGCGTCCCGACGAACCGGCAGGGTTACATGGACTGTTCGAGAACCGTCCGTTACAAAAACATTGATGATTATTTAATAAGAAAACGGTTGTGTTTTGATTAGGGAATTAATGCCACAGAGTTATTCCCAAAACGTGTGTAGTAAATGTGCAGAGTAAATGCGGAAGTAAATAAGTAAGTCCAGTCCAAACTAAATAATGACAAGGGTGGGTTCATGCCCAAATGATTAATTAAGAAATGAAAAGTAAATATGAGTGTGTCCGTGCGCCGCCCATCTCTCCATCGTCACTGCCTTCCAGGGTTGGCACCCACTCCGTCATGTCTTCGTGCGTGTAGCTAAAACAACTACACGCTCAGCAAAAGCTGATGAGTGAATCTAACAAAAGAACATTAAGTGATAACCCATATGGCTATACCCATGTTAATACCTGTACTTAACGTACGGGAAAACCACACGTTACTAACTCTTTAGTTTTCACCTGTTTAAGCTATCTCGAATAATAAGGAACATACATGATGATGATAAATGACCTGATGCATGACTTCAACTATCAGGGACACCCCTGGCTTAGTCTCACTCGACAGGATCACCCCTGCACTCCGGTCATCGTCCCCAAACGGCAACGAGCCAGGCACGACTAAGATGTCGCGAGTGGACTAGCAAAACCGGGTAGTAGCCGTAACCTGACTACTATGTACGTACACAAGCCCAACATTATGAAAACCCGTTGGTCCCCAAAGGTACCTGGACGGGCCCACTGTAGTAGGTGCACGGAATCCTCCCTACAGCGGTATGCACATGATGAAAATCTAGAACATGCGTCTAGAACAAACATGGAGAATCCCTTGATTAAAGAAGAGAGTTAAATTCAATTCATACATATGTGTTTGATTATGATTTGTTCAACATGATGGCCTTGGGTTGAGAACTGGCTGATAATCGATTGTCTGCTGTTGATAATCGATTATCATGTTGTGCAGCTTCTGTCCCCAAAGTCCTGCAGACTGTGATAATCGATTGTCACCCTATGACAATCGATTGTCAAGTTGGTTTATTTGGAAAGTCCTAAGTTCAGAGAGACCTGATAATCGATTATCAGTGAAGCCAACTCAGACCCAAGAATCCGCAGGGCCTGATAGTCGATTATCCCACATGTGATAATCGATTATCACACTGTGCCGAATCAACTAAGGAGTCCAGCGTGGTCTGATAGTCGATTGTACTATCTGTAACTCGATTATGAAGGCACGCAGCTGATTTCCTTTTTATCTGTTTGTTTGTCATCACAACGTTGGAAGTTTTAGAAACGAATGTTTACATTTCCATGCTAAATAACCGATGAACTTACAAGGTTTCAAAACATTTATATTAACGAGTACATAACTTGATAACATGGACACACGTATGTTGGATGGTTAACCTACGAACATGCATAGATTCTACGTAGGTTGCGTACGATATTCCTACGAATATAACGACATAGATTATAACTAAATGTTCTAGCATTAGAGGGACAACTACTCACCTCTAAACGAAGGGACTGATGGAATGAGATGAACGAATGGCGCCAACGAATGGACGAACGACGACTACGCTTCGCACGAACGCCCTAGCCCTTCTTCTCCTTAAACCTTGCACCCGCTAGAGCTTCGCCGGAGGTCCTCCTTGCTGCTGGTCTGGCCGAATGAAGGGGAGAGGAAGAGAGAGTGAGAGGGGTTCTTGGGAGTTACAAAGTGGAAACATAAATGAAGGGAGAGATGGGGGTTTTAATTTAGAGTAATGATTAGGAAATAATGGTGATGGTAATGATGGGGGTTAAGGGTGGCGTATGGGATCAATTGGGGGGGGGGGTTACAATCTTTATTCTACTGCGTTATGTAAAGTCTGACCTGAATGGTACACGCTTTTCCCCCAAACGGGTCCGAATTGAGATCCGTTTGCACTTTTGGAATCAGACAGTCAAGACGAATTTAATGATATGATCAAATAATTTTTCTAAGAACTTTTCATTTTCTCCAACTCCGGTCCGGAACAGTAATTGATTAATTAAATTAACCAATTCTATTAGACCGGGTTGCAGGGCGTTACAGCTGCATTCATGTCCAACGCGTGTTTGAACAAAGCGTTGATGTCAACCCGAGGGGCAGTGATCAAATGGGCTGATAAGTCGGGGCGTAGGCCCTCCACGAAGCGCTTGCACCGCTTCTCCATGGTTGGGACGAGGTCTTTCCCAAATCCCGCGAGCTCGTCAAACTTCTGACGATACTCCGACAGTGTGAGTTCACCCTGAGTGAATTTCAGGAACTCCTCTCGCTTCGCCTCAACGAAGTGCTCCGGAATGTACTCTTCATGGAAGAGTCGATCGAATGTGGCCCACTACACGAGCTCAGGGATGTGTGCTCCCACCCTCAGGTTCCCCAACACTCGGATGGTTTGCTCAAACCATCGTTTGGCAATCATGGGGTCGGCGATTTGATCACCCAAGAATTCCTCAGCTCCATTCTTCTGGAGCTTCTTGATGGTGACCACCGCCCCTGGTGGCGGCGGTGGTAGCGGTGGTGGCACGTAAGCTCCAGCCATCTGCTGGAGGAAGTTCATGAAGTTAGCAGCGAACTGCGGCTGGACGATAGGGATGGCTTCCGGTATAGGGCCCACGCCCGGGACCGCCTGCTCGGAGGCCTGCTGAGGTGTGAAGCTCGACGCTTCAGTGTGCACGCTCACGTGCTCAGGCTCCCCCTCTAGGACCGCCTGTCCGTCATTGCCAGCTGCTTGACTCATTCTCTCTAAAGGAATAACTTAAATCAAAACTAATTATAATATGACATACATGTGATCTAAATAACGGTGTACCTTTCCCTGGGAGTGATGCGATGACAGATGCTGTGGACTTTTTGAAAATACCTTTTGAACAAGACGACAAAATATGTTTTTTTTTTCAAAACCGAACTGCTCTGATACCAAATTGTAACACCCGCCTTCCGTGGACCCGATTCACCCGCGACCCGACAGACCGGCAGTGTTACAACGACAGTCCGAGAACCGTCCGTAGAGAAAAACGCATTAATTTCTATTTATTATGTAACAGTTGAGTTTAATTGGTGAAATAATGCTAGGGTGTGATATAAAAGCAGAGTAAAAGCGGAAGTAAATAAATAAGTCCAAAATAAGTAAAACAACATATGGTGGGTTCATTCCCAAATGATTAATTAATTCCAATTATTATAATTATTAAACTCGTCCGTGCACCGCCCATCTTCCTATCATCACTGAATTCCAGGCACTTGTACCGTCATGTCTACCTGCGTGTAGCAAAAACAACTACACGCTCAGCAAAAGCTGAAGAGTGAATCTAGTAAAAGAACATGGAGTGATAACCCATGTGATTATACACATGTTAATACCTGTACTTAACGTACGGAAAACCACATGTTTACTAACTGATTAATTTGCACTTGATGGGATATTATTACACCTAACAAAATGATATGCTACCACATTGAATATGGACATTATGGGAACATACATGATGATGACAACCACATTGAATGTTGACGTGACATGAACATACATGATGACGATATGACCTGATGCATGATACCCCTGACTTAGTCTCACTTGACAGGATCACCCTTGCACTCCGGTAATGAGCCGGGCTCGACAAAACGTCGCAAGTGAACTAGCAAAACTGGGTGGTAGCCGTAGCCTGACTACCATGTACGTAGACAAAGCCCACCTGATGAAAACCCGTTGGATCCCAAAGGTTCCTGGACGGGCCCACTGTAGTAGGCGCACGTAAGCCTGACCTCCCTACAGCGGTATGCACATGATGATGACCCTAGGACATACGTCTAGGATGAACATTATGACATGAATGCATTGATTGAAGAAGGAAGTTAAATTTAACGCATACATATGTGTTTGATTACAATTTGATCAACATGATGGCCTTAGGTTCAGAACTGGCTGATAATCGATTGTCTACTGCTGATAATCGATTATCATGCTGTGCAGCTTCTGTCCCCAAAGTCCTGCAGACTGTGATAGTTGATTGTCACCCTATGACAGTCGATTGTCATGTTGGTTTGTTCGGGATGTCCTAAGTTCAGAGAGCCCTGTTAATCGATTATTGCCTATGTGATAATCGATTATCAGTGAAGCCAACTCAGACCCAAGAATCTGCAGGGCCTGATAGTCGATTATCCCACATGTGATAATCGATTATCACGCTGTGCCGAATCAACTAAGGAGTCCAGCGTGGTCTGATAGTCGATTGTACTATCTGTAACTCGATTATCAAGGCACGCAGCTGATTTCCTTTTTATCTGTTTGTTTGTCATCACAACGTTGGAAGTTTTAGAAACGAATGTTTACATTTCCAGGCTAAATAACCGATGAACTTACAAGGTTTCAAAACATTTATATTAACGAGTACATAACTTGATAACATGGACACACGTATGTTTGATTGTTAGCCTACGAACATGCATAGATTCTACGTAGGTTGCGTATGATATTTCTATGGATATAATGACATAGATTATAACTAAATGTTCTAGAATTAGAGGGGACAACTACTCACCTCTAACGAAGGGTTTGATGGAACGAAAAACGAGATGAACGGTTGACTATGAACCAACGAGCGGATGAACCGACCACCTCCTACGTGACTTCCCTTCTCTTCTACCCTCCGCCTACCCACCAGAATCCTCTCTAGGACTGCTTGCTGCCTTGGCCGAAAATCAAGGGAAGAGGAAGAGTATGTGTAATTGTCTTTGGGAGTTACAATTTGCTAAGGGAAGTGAAGAGAGGAAGGAGCTTATATATTGATTATGTAATGATGAGGATTAATGGGCAATTGAATGAGAAATAATGGTGTGTGCATGTGGGGAGAGGAATGGCGTGAGAGAGAGGGAGTTACAAATATTTATTTACTCCGTTATATTAAAATCTGACCTGAACGGTACGCGCTTTTCCCCCTGAACGGGTTCGAATTGAGATCCGTTTGTGTTTTCGGACTCAGACAGTCAAAACGAATTTAATGACATGTTCAGATAGTTTTTCTAAGATTTTTTTTATTTTCCCCAACTCTGGACCGGAACAGTAATTAATTAAATTAAAACAATCAATTCTAATAGACCGGGTTGTAGGGCGTTACATTAATTACTGAGAAGGACCCAAAAATGTGTGAATTATAAAGTTTGTCAATAAATAATAAAAATTATATCGTTGTGTAGAGTTTGACTGTCTGACCGCAACGGTTCAATCGGATTTTAATTCGGAGAAAGTTGGACCAAAAAGTGTACCCCGACTGTGACCAAAAATAGTCCCAATGAGGGACTTGCGTTTAAAACCCGTAGAAGATCGCCGTTTGCTCCACTCAGCCGCTGGAACAGGGAGCAAGCACATCACCCATGACTTTTTCTACTAACCCTCTACTATAAAACCCATAATTGTCCACCATTCCTCATCATTCGTATCCCAATAGAAAGAGCTGAGTGTGAGAAGCATTGTAGTACTACCAATTTGGTGTCAAGTTGCCGGAGCAAGCCGTGGTGTTCGCTGGAAGTTTCGCCGTCTTTTCGCCGGAATCACCGTTTAGCATTAAGGTAAGCCCGTAGATATATCTAGTGACTAGAATGTTCATATAGATCGTTTCTACGTTCATAAACGGTCGTTTGGTTGAGTTTTGTGTTTGACATATTTGAAGAACTAAGAATCATAAACCATGATTTTGACGTTAAAGCTATGAATTAATAATGCCAAAATGATCTATGAACCTTAGAGAACATTTTTATATACTTTAATTGAAGTTTGGAAAGTAAAAATGACATTTCTGCAAGTTGACTCGAGGTAGAAGATGATGAATAGTCGACTATCAACTTAAAAATCGACTATGGCTTGTTCTGCAGATTTTTGGAACAGAGCTGAGCAACAGTCGATTGTCAGAATGTGACAATCGACTGTCAGCCCTCTTTGAAGTTTGATAATCGATTGTCAGAGTGTGATAATCGATTATCAGCCCATTCTGAACATCAGATAGTAGATTATCAGAAGTGATAGTAGACTGTCTCCCTACACTATTGAAGAAAATGAAGCCAGTAGCTAATAATTGAATTTCCTATCATATATTAATCAATTATTATTTAGAAAACATGATTTTTGAACTATGAAATCTTATTTTTGATACCAATAAATTATGATTAATATAAAGATGATCTCTTGAAATAAAAATGATGTTTTGACAACTAAGAGGACTTTACGTGATGTATGACGATAAGCTAGGGTGTTAACACTCGACGCTAGGCCGCTAATTGTTATTGAATATTATGATGATTATTGTTATGTATGATTATTGGTGATGAACCCACTGATTAAAATGATTATTGTGAATGATTTAAACTATGATTTGAAATGAATTCAACGATAATTATGAAATAATTCGGATTGATGAATTGTACTGTTAAGGATATCTAGAAGAACACTAGGATATACCCATTTGGAAATTGATGATGAACTATTAAGGATATCTAGAAGAACTCTAAGATATATCCCTATTGATGTTGGTTTCTAATACTATCTAGAAGACCTCTAAGATAGATTAGAAATAGGCCTTGCGGGTATGAACCCCGGTGGCTAGGGTTAAAACGTACGTATGGGATCCAAGAACCAAACTTGAGTACCTACTCGTTTGGGGGTACCACCCACCCAACAGTGAACACTACACTGTCGGTTTCTGGTTGACCTTAAGTGAAGGCAAGTTTAAGATTTTCAAAACCCTTTTATCTTAAACTAGGCCTAGCTTAAGGATTATATAGAAGTACTTTATACTAGAATATAGTTTAATTATTTAAACTAAAATTCGTTTAAGGGTTGACAAATATTAAAGTGATTGGCCTTAGACTAAGAATAAGTTTTAGGATATTGTTGAATGTTGAATATTGAATATCGAATATTGAATATGAATAAATATTGAATTTAATATTGTAATTATTATAAATGACGAATAAAAATGTGAAAATAAAATAACAAATGAAGAATATTGACTAATGATTATTGAGTATCTGAACTAAACATTATGTGCATGATATCAAATGATTTGATTATGAATTTAGATTTAGTTTATATGGATGTTCGACGCATTAGATATGCTTACTCAGCTTAAACGTTCAGCGTGTAGTATGCTTTATTTGCTACACGCATGTAAACAAAAAGAATGAAGAAATGATTTCCTGGAGGCAGATGGGACGAGAAAGTCGGACGGATGTGTGTTTTGGATTTGGATTATTGTTTGCAAAGACATAAATTAATTATGTTTGTATTATGTTTTATTAAGCTTACGCAACATTAAATTACTCCGTTACTATTTTGAATTATTTATTATGAAATAAAGTTTTAAATGTTTGAAATATTTTGAATGTCTACGAATACCAAGTTTATACTGTAACGCCCCAAAACATACCCTAAAATTATTAATAAATAATTCAATTAGTCAAATTTGTTTTGATTAAAATAAATTATTGTTGGGCTTTGGGCCGATATGAAATATGTTTTAATTTCCAATATCAAAATCTGGATAAGTTTCATAGAGATAAATCCAATATGTTGACTAATTGTGTGGTCTTGATTGGGAACCTGAGTACAGACCCAAATCAAGAATAAATGAAGAAATTATTTATAATATGAACTTTAAAATGATTTATTGAAATAAATCATGAGAACAAATGATATGAACTAAATGTGAGAACCTTTTTGAATAAAGGTCAAATCAACCAATTTTGACTCTGTCAAAGTCAAACACTCTAAAATATGATGTCGGAAAAAGTATTTCAAATAAATATAAAAATTATATAGTTGGATAAAATTCGAC